CGCATGCACCTCATAATCTCACAGCCTTGGAGGGATACATTCGACTTCTGCAAGCAGAGCACCCCGCAGCCGTTCCTCGATGTGATAGAACACCGCACACACTGCAAACACCCGCCCTGGACTCGATTCTCCTCGGTGGCGGTCAGCTCAAGGTCAACGAGCATCAAAGAGCCGCCAATGACGCGCACACCAGGCAGCGTGATACACGCTCTGCCCAAATCCTCCGAGCTGCTGCCGTAGAGCACGACACGGTGACCCGTGGTGATCTCGAGCGGCTCGTCCTGGGACCACTCGCCCGTGATCTCCATCACGGCTGGGCCTGGGCCCGAGAGCGCTGCCTGCACCAGCTCGGTCAGGCGGGGATGCCCTGCGCCTGGTGCAGGGCACCCCTCAGGGGCCGGGGCCGCGCGTCCCGACAGGGACTGCGCCGCCGACCGATCCGGATCCTGCTTCTGCAACTCCGGGGTCGGCACCAGGCGCGCGATGCCATCGTCGAAGGACAGGCCGACGTCGCCCTGCGGCCACGCCACCTCCACGGGCATGCGGGGCACGGGCTGGCCCCGGGGTGGCTCCCCGGGGCAAGGTTTCCATCCCCAACTGCTTCATGGCGGTCCTGGGGCCCCAGGGGCCTGAAATCGGCGAAGGGTCTCCGGGCGCCAAACACGACGGATTGATTGTTCCAGTTGGTGGGCCCCAGAAGGATCGCCTCCTTCCTCGAGCGCGGTTCTCCGTCTTTTGGATGACCCTGGGGGCCCCCAGAAGACCGACATCGACGACACATACACCGGGATTGACGACACCGATCCATTAGATCTCTGGGCCTCGGGAGACCCTAGACTTCGGCCATCGGAGCATACTGTAGACGGAGGAGCATACTGTAGACGGATCTACTCTTTCTGCGACCATGTACTGCGTCGAACGCAACGGCCGCGTTGTCTGTAGACGTATCCTCCCCGCATGGGCCTTTTGTATGTAATTAACAAAACCCCACGTGTCCATAGACGCTTGTGGCTAGGAAGCGAAGGCGGTGTTTGGCACAGGCTCCAAATATTGGTCTTCTAGAAGGGTTCGGAGTAGATGGGGTCGGAGGATCGCGCCTCATCGACGATGCATCGGCGATGCGGCCCGATGTGCAGCCCGATTGGCTTCACGTCGACGTCGCTGATGTATGGCCGACGTTACGATGCATCGCGGGTGCATCGTCGATGCATCGGCGATGCGGCGCGACCCTCCGACCCCATCTACTTCGACTCCATTGATCTAGGAAGCTTCTCTGTAAGCCTGGCGCTCCAAACCCGTGGTTCTTTCACAACGCGACGAGGTTATGTTGCCCCCATCGTAGTTAAGGACCGCATCCCAGAAATAATTTCGAGCACCCAGAAGAGTATCGAGCAAGTGTCGAACGAGTGTCGCCTCCTGCCAGGGCCCGGCGCGTGAACCCCCCCTCCCAGCTTCGGGGCTTGGTGCTCGAAGGTCTTTCTCGTGGTCGAGGCTGCAGTAGCGTGGAACATCACAAGACGAGATGGGGGGGGACCGGCATGGGGCACGCCTCCCCCCTTCGCGGGCCCGACCTCTGGAGCGGCACGCTCAGCGCCAGGACGCGCCCGCTGCGGCGAGGCCGCTGGCGCTGGCGGGCGGGCCGCTCCCCAGAGGTGAGGGGGCACGATCGGCGGGGGGGGGCCGGCCCAGAGGGCGCAGAGTCCCGGAGGCAATGCTTGAACCTCTTGGGGGGGGCCTCCTGGGGGCTTGTGGCGGCCATCTTGGGGCTCCCTGGGGGGCCTGTCAGGGGGGCTCCAGCGCAGATCCAGGAACCCCGCGCGGAGCGCCAAAAGTTTATCTATGTTTGTGTCGTTTGTCTTCTTCTTCTTCTAAGCTCAGGTCGAGCATGTCCCCCTACAGGCGGATTTTGGGCGAACGCAAAAAAAGAACTATCCCAAGATAGACAAAACTACCCAAACAATCGTCCCAACAGTGCTTTTTTGACTATTTTTGAGTTTCCCTCCTGTCGAGGGACAGGCCCGACTGAATTCTAAGATCGGGCGCGGATCGCGCCTGCGTCCGCCGGGGCGCGGGGCCCGCTGAAGGCCGGCACGGGCGGGTTCCGGAGCCCTGCGCTGCAGAGATGTGGCGCAGGACTCGGACGTCCGACGCCTCCATTTCTTCGAGACACGGACTCCCGACCTCCCCCCAGACCCCCTCGCGCAGCGAACAAATCACGACGGGATGTTTTTTTCGCAATTTTTGCCTCCAGGGACCCTCACCCGGCCTCGGGACCGTCAAAAAACGACTCAGGATGAAAAACCAGTCCAGGGGAATGGGTCAAGACCCTTGAGGGTCGACGTTATGAACGAATCATGACGTCGGGGGTCTGGGGACCCCCGACCTCCCGATCACTTCCAGGGGACTGGTTTTTCATACCGAGCCGTTTTTGGACGGTCCCGAGGCCCGGTGAGGGCCCCGAGAGGCCAAACACTACGAAAAACCTCGGTGTCTCGACGTTTTCGAAACGCCCGATGCCTGGGGGAGTGCTTGCGCTAGACTGTTCCATGGCGTGCTGACTCATGCTTATGCAGACTATCCTGTTCGAGTCGGCCACGTATACATCGCCGATGGCATCGGCGATAGCGAAAACGCGCGCACCTGGGCGGGGTAGGCTGTCGGGCCCCTGTGGGCGATCGGCGGTCGATGCGTCTCCCCCATGAGCCACACCTCCAAATGATCCTCGTCGTCCGAGTCCTAACTCGGCTCTCCTGTGGCCGTTCGGGACGACCTGGGCACCCCTGGCACGCTGAGCGCAAATGAGTGCAATGCCGATGAGAGGCGAGGCGCAGGTGCCGCAGCGCATCCCGAGGCAGAACCTGAGGAAGCGCCAAGACACAGCAGAAAACGCCCCAGACATGCGACATCATGTTTTTTTTCAATGCGAGATCCACGGAAGTCCCGATCCTCTCCCCAGGGCCGGGTTTTCACTGAGTCGTTCTTCTTGATGGCACCGGGCCCCAGCGAGGGCTCCCGGAGGCCGAAGATGGGCACGAACCTTCCGTTGTGATGTTTTCCGCGACGCGATGAGCCTGTTTTTCTTGTTGCAGGTCTACTTACATATTTACCTAACAGCTTTTGCTGATAGGTTTCTAGTGGTGTCAAAAGAAAGCATCTTGACGCCCCATGGGGGTCTGGGCGGGAACCGGATGCGGGAACCGGACAAAACCGGCAGCCCCAGGAATCCTTAGAAATTCTTAGGAATCCTTAGGAATCCATTCCCAGAACACCATTCCTAGGCCACATTTTGAATGCCCGGAGCCAACTGTAAGCCACTTCGTGTTCTTCGTGTTCCCAGAACTCCATTCCCAGGCCACATTTTGAAAGCCCGGAGCCAACAATAGGCCACTTCGTGTTCTTCGTGTGTCCAGAACACCATTCCAGTACCATATTTTTATTGCCCGGAGCCAACAGTAGGCCACTTCGTGTTCTTCGTGTTCCCAGAACACCATTCCCAGGCCACATTACCTAACAGCGAAGACTGATAGGTTTCTAGTGGTCGCAAAAGAAAACATCAAGACTCCCCAGGGGGGTCTGGGCAGATGCCGGACGTGTGCCGCGGGAATCTGGGGACTCCCGCGGGAATCCGGGGACTCCTTTTTTTGCCAACGGTAACGCACTTCGTGGTCTTCGAGTTCCCAGAATTGCATGACTGGGCATGATTTTTTAAGCCCGGACCCAGCTGTAGGTCACTTCGTGTTCTTCGAGTTCCCAAAACTCCATTCCCGGGCCACATTTTGAATGCTGAGGCAGGCTGAGGCTGAGGCCGAGGCTGAAGGCAGACTGAGGCTGAGGCTTAAGCAGGCTGAGGCTGAGGCTGAGGCAGGCTGAGGCTGAGGCTGAGGCAGGCTGATGCTGAGGCAGGCTGATGTTGAGGCTGAGGCTCATGAAGGCTGAGGCTGAGGCAGGCTGAGGCTGAGGCCGAGGCTGAAGGCAGACTGAGGCTGAGGCTGAAGCAGGCTGAGGCTGAGGCTGAGGCTGAGGAAGGCTGAGGCTGAGGCTGAGGCTGAGGCAGGCTGATGCTGAGGCAGGCTGAGGCTGAGGCTGAGGCTGATGCAGGCTGAGGCTGAGGCAGGCTGAGGCTGAGGCCGAGGCTGAAGGCAGACTGAGGCTGAGGCTGAAGCAGGCTGAGGCTGAGGCTGAGGCAGGCTGAGGCTGAGGCTGAGGCTGAGGCTGAGGCAGGCTGAGGCTGAGGCAGGCTGAGGCTGAGGCTGAGGCTGATGCAGGCTGAGGCTGAGGCAGGCTGAGGCTGAGGCCGAGGCTGAAGGCAGACTGAGGCTGAGGCTGAAGCAGGCTGAGGCTGAGGCTGAGGCAGGCTGAGGCTGAGGCTGAGGCAGGCTGATGCTGAGGCAGGCTGAGGCTGAGGCTGAGGCTGATGCAGGCTGAGGCTGAGGCAGGCTGAGGCTGAGGCCGAGGCTGAAGGCAGACTGAGGCTGAGGCTGAAGCAGGCTGGCTGAGGCTGAGGCAGGCTGAGGCTGAGGCTGAGGCTGAGGCTGAGGCAGGCTGAGGAGGCTGAGGCTGAGGCTGAGGGCTGAGGCTGAGGCTGATGCAGGCTGAGGCTGAGGCAGGCTGAGGCTGAGGCTGAGGCTGAGGCTGAGGCAGACTGAGGCTGAGGCTGAAGCAGGCTGAGGCTGAGGCTGAGGCAGGCTGAGGCTGAGGCTGAGGCTGAGGCTGAGGCTGAGGCTGAGGCTGAGGCTGAGGCTGAGGCTGAGGCTGAGGCTGAGGCTGAGGCTGAGGCTGAGGCAGGCTGAGGCTGAGGCAGGCTGAGGCTGAGGCTGAGGCTGAAGGCTGAGGCTGAGGCTGAGGCTGAGGCTGAGGCTGAGGCTGAGGCTGAGGCAGGCTGATGCTGAGGCTGAGGCAGGCTGAGATGAGGCAGGCTGAGGCTGAGGCCGAGGCTGAAGGCAGACTGAGGCTGAGGCTGAAGCAGGCTGAGGCTGAGGCTGAGGCAGGCTGAGGCTGAGGCTGAGGCAGGCTGATGCTGAGGCAGGCTGAGGCTGAGGCTGAGGCTGATGCAGGCTGAGGCTGAGGCAGGCTGAGGCTGAGGCCGAGGCTGAAGGCAGACTGAGGCTGAGGCTGAAGCAGGCTGAGGCTGAGGCTGAGGCAGGCTGAGGCTGAGGCAGGCTGAGGCTGAGGCTGAGGCAGGCTGAGGCTGAGGCTGTGACTTGGACTGCCGTTGCCACTGCGACTGTCATCGCGAATGCGACTACGACTGCGAGAACAGCAGAATTCTACAACTGGATTATCATCTGAATATTATGGGAAATGCTTCCAGACATGCATATGCACATCGCTGTTAGGTTGCTTTGCCGGGATAATTGTGAATGCCCGGAGCCATTTGTAGGCCATTTCGTGATATTCGTGTTCCCAGAACACCATTCCCAGGCCACATTTTGAATGCCCGGAGCCAGCTGTGGGCCACTTCGTGATCTTCGTGTTCCCAGAACATGAGTCCTGTGCCATATTTTGAATGCCCGAGCTGAGGCAGGCTGAGGCCGAGGCAGGCTGAGGCCGAGGCAGGCTGAGGCTGAGGCTGAGGAAAGCCGAGGCAGGCTGAGGCTGAGGCTGAGGCAGGCTGAGGCTGAGGCAGGCTGAGGCTGAACCTGACGCAGGCTGAGGCCGAGGCAGGCTGAGGCTGAGGCTGAGGCAGGCTGAGGTTGAGGCAGGCTGAGACTGAGGCTGAGGCAGGCTGAGGCTGAGACTGAGGCTGACGCAGGCTGAGGCTGAGAGGCTGACGCTGAGGCTGAGGCAGGTTGAGGCTGAGGCTGGGGCCGAGGCAGGCTGAGGCTGAGGCTGAGGCAGGCTGAGGCTGAGGCTGAGGCTGAGGCTGAAGCTGAGGCAGGCTGAGGCTGAGGCTGAGGCTGTGGCTGAGGCTGAGGCAAGCTGCGGCTGAGGCAGGCTGAGTTCCAGGCTGATGCAGGCTGATGCTGAGGCAGGTTGAGGCTGAGGCTGAGGCAGGCTGAGGCTGAGGCTGAGGCCGAGGCCGAGGCAGGCTGAGGCTGAGGCCGAGGCAAGCCGAGGCAGGCTGAGGCTGAGGCTGAGGCAGGCTGAGGCAGGCTGAGGCTGAGACAGGCTGAGGCTGAGGCTGAGGCAGGCTGAGGCTGAGGCAGGCTGAGGCTGAGGCCGAGGCGAATCCTTCGGAATCCTTAGAATTCCCTAGGAATCCTTAGGAATCCATGGGAATCCCTAGGAATCAGGTTTCCTAAGGATTCCTATGGATTCCTAAGGATGCCTAAGGATGCCTTAGGAATCCCTCGGAATCCTTAGGATTCCATTGGATCCTGCTGTTGCCACTGCGACTGTCATTGCGAATGCGACTGCGACTGCGAGAACAGCAGAATTCTACAACTGGATTCTCACCTGAATCTTAAGGGGAATGCTTACAAATATGCATATACACATCGCTGTTAGGCTGCTTTGCCGGGATAATTTTCGCTCCCCCCCACTCGCCCCTCTTCATGCGAAAACTAGCGTCAAGTGCCTCTCGACTTGCCTGCTCGCCGCCCGTGCAAGCCGTTTGCGGCCTGCTGCAGGCTCAGCCCCTCCCCCCAATGTCCATGCCAGTAGCTTGCCTCTTCTGAATGAAAAACATGGCATACAAGTAAAACAAACAGGCTCGATCACGTCGAGGGCTCGGGCCCCCCTGCGCACGTGCCCCTTCTAGCGCTGCCCCCGCGGAGGCCCCGCTCGGCAGGCGGCTGGAGGCCGCCGCCGCGGGGGTCCGCCGCCGGCGGCGCGCCCTGCGGCCACGCCGCCCGCGGGGCGGGCCGCGGGGCAGGGGCCTCCGCGGCCCTGCTGCCGGTGGGGCGCTGCGTCGTGGGGGCGCGATGCCGACCGAGGCGTCTGTGCACCACCCCCGTGCCAGGGCAGGGCCGTCCTGGGCCCTAGGATGGTGTGTAGACCCTCCTCCTCCTCCTCCTCCTCCTCCTCCTCCTCCTCCTTCTCCTCCTCCTCCTCCTCCTCCTCCTCCTCCTCCTCCCCCTCCTCCTCCTCCACACCATGCTGGGGCCAGGATGGCCCTGGCTCGGCATGGTGGTGGTGCATAGGTGCCTTCTGCGTAGCGACGAGTCCTCGGCGAGCGATGGGGGGGCCTTCTCAGAAGCCCTCGCGCCATCTGAGAAGTTTCCTGTGTTTCCGGGGGAGGCTTAGACAAGTGCTCGGAAGGCTGTGGAACTGCCGAGCCTTCTGAGAAGGCCCGCCCCTTCTCACTTCCCCCCCCCTTGACTCGCCGCCGAATGAGGGGGGGGGCGGCAGAACGGTACACGTCGGTCGGAAGAAGTAGGTAAAAACATGTAGAAACCCAGACCCCCTCGCGTCGTGACAAAAATCACGACGGGAGGTTTTTCGCTATTTCGGCCTCAGGGGACCCTTACCGTGCCTCGGGACGGTCAAAAAATACGACTGATGATGAAAAGCGGTTTCCCGGGAAGGGGTCCAGACCTCTAGGGGTCGTTCATCACGACGTCGGGGGTCTGTGATGGCAGATTAAGTAGACTGGGTCCACGCCCTCCCAGAGAGCAACAAAACACATAACACAAACGCAAATCGATTCTTGAAGTGGGCATCCAGACATACGTACCTTCAACGTCCGGCGAACACATTTCGTCCCCTTCAGGGCATACAAATGGTGTACTTCTTCCACCCCAGATGGGCCGACTACACGCAAGACTGACCCTGGGTAAGAGTGACCTTTGGTGCGCGGCTTCTTGGGGGCCGCGGGGGGACCAACACGCAAGCGCGCAATACGCTACTCGCGCACCGCGTTCGGCGATCGAAGGACCCCACTGGTCCCGCACCAAAGGTCACTCTGGCGAAGGGTCGCTCCCCAGACTTCCGACATCATGAATTTTTCATAATGTCGACCCTGGAGATCTCGACCCATTCCCCAGCACTAGCTTGTCATCCTGAGTCGTTTCTTGACGGTCGCGAGGGCCGGTGAGGGCCTCCAACGGGCAATCATATATAGCAAAACGCCGTCGAGCCGTGAGTTTTCCACTCCCAGAGGGGGTCTCTTATGTGTACGGCAGGTCGATGTCGTGTCGACCCCAGCGTCGGCTTCTGACACCGCGCGGATCGTTCAACCTTGAACGATCGGACGTGTCCGAAAAGTCAGCTCGTTCAGCATCGACCGATTCTTGGTCGCCAGCGGCGCTCCGAAAACCAGACATCTGACGTCTCGATTTTTAAGAGACACGGCCCCCCGACCTCCCGACCACTTCCCCGGGACTGGTTTCTCATCCCGAGTCCTTTCTTGACGGTCCCGAGGCACAGTGAGGGCCCCGAGAGGCCCAAAACTACAAAAACCTCCGCCGCGATTTTCTCGTGACGCCCGGCGTCTGGGAAATGGATCGCCGCCCCACTGCGCAGCGCCCTGCTGCCGCGCGGCGCCGTCGGCGCCAGCTGCCGCGGGCGTGCGAGGGCCGCCGGCGCTTCCTGCATGGGCGCGCGTGGCGGGGGACCCCGCGCCCTGCGGGCGCGCCGCGCCCCCGCGCCCGCGGGGCCTCTGCGCATCGTTGTCGCCGCCGCGGTCGCCGGCGCCGTCGCCGCCGCCGCCGCTGGGGGGTCGTCGTGGCCGTCGTGCCTGCCGCCGTGAACGTCGCCACCGCCGTCGTTGCCGCCGTGGCCGTCGCCGCCGCCGTGGCCGCCGCCGTGGCCGCCGTGGCCGTCGCCGCCGCCGTCGATGCCGTCGTGGCCGTCGTCGCCGCCGTTGTTGCCGCTGTGGCCTACGTTGCCGACGTGGCCGTCGCCGCCGTCGTTGCCGCCGTGGCCGTCGTTGCCGCCGTGGCTGCCGCCGCCGGTGCCCCGAGAGCGTCTTGGCATCGCACTTTTTTCGCAAGGGGCGTTTTCGTCTGGTTTCCGGCCCTGGGACCCGCACAAGTGGATTTGCCTGGAGGCATGGCGCACGAAAATGGGGTCCAAGAGCGGCGAGCATATCCGTATCCGCGCCCTCGCGGTCTTGACTCGGGGGGGCGACCCCGCGGATAATTTTGCGGTGGCATGGGCCTCCGTGAAATAACGCCCCGCAGCCTCGTGGTCGCGGCTCAGGGGCTCGGCCGGGAGGTTGCGGATACAGTGGGGGCCAGTCGACAAGAAACCTTCCACAAGAACCCCACCCTGCGACCCCAGGACGCCTAGTGGTTTTGCCCCACATGTTTAGTGGGGTTATGATTTTCTTCTCTCCCGCGTCCCACCCGCGTCTCACTCACACGCTCACCTGTTCTTCCCCTCTCACCTCACACACGCGCAACGTATGCACGGCACGTACATGAGACACGCGTCTTTATGCAGCCGCACGCATGCACACACTCGCACACACACCATACAACGCCAGTGTGCGCCTGGCGTGTCGACTGTATCATACATCAAGCCGCATGCGCCACATACTGGGCCTCCACGTCCACATACAGCCGTACACGCATCATACATCACCCACATTGAGACACGCGTCCACGTACAGCCGCACACATATCATACACATACACAATGAACACACAACACAAGACACGCATGCAATCACACGCGCACGCATGAACGCACACGCACACGCACACGCACACACACACACACACGCACGCACACACAAACAATCACACACAATCACACACAATCACACACAATCACACACGATCACACACACACACACATCCGCGAACACACACACACACACAAGCACGCACGCACGCACGCACACTCGACACACACACACACACACACACACGCACGCCCACACGCACGCACGCACACGCACACGCACACGCACACGCACACGCACACGGGAACACACAAACACACACATACACACACACGCACGCACACACGCACACACACAATCACACACAAACATACACACCCGCACACACACACACACGCACGCACGCACGAACGCACGCACACTCGACACACACACACACACACGCACGCACACTCGCACGCACGCATACGCACACGCACCCGCACACGCAAA